CCCCCCCCAAAATACATTTTACACATAAAATGACATAGAACAAAACTGTAAACCACAATAAATTTTGTATCCGTTTTTTCTCTTAATATAGTTGAAGTATTGCACAACTATGTGCAAACATATCCAAAGTTTCTGGGCAAAATACATTAACAGGTGAATTCATATTACATAATTCATATATCTGAAAGCATATTTAAACTACTTTAATGTGGTTAAGAAGTGCTTCCACTTACAACGGACATAAACCAGCATGCTTTTGCTACTAAGCAAGAGAAAAAAATGCACTACTGTCTCCTGTAAGGTCATCTTTGAAGCTACTGAAGAAAAGCTTAAAATCAACAGCACTGTAAATTTTCAACATATGCATGGGTGTGTGTGCACATGGGAAAAATGCATGCAATACAAATTTATGTTACTCGGTTTATAAACACAAATCAAACCATCAATTCAAGTAGCGAAGAGTCACAAAATTTGGGAAAGAACAGAGTTCCAAATGACCGAGACCTACAGATTTAGAAATTTGTTTCTAATACAGATGAAGTTAATAATGCCCCCTCAAACAAGAAGAAACAAAACAAGAACACCCCAACCCAGCCAAACAAAAACCCCACAAACAAGCTTTAACCTAGAAGGAAACACATACTCTCAAAGCACTAACAAATTAATTTTAGAAATGTAACATGGTCACATTACATCCTAGTACCTACTTGGCAACAGGACTTTTTCCATTATGTTTCTTGTGAACTGCTGTGTGTTGCATTACATCTGGAAAAAAATAAACCAAAGCATAATTTCAATATCAATTCCTATTTCCTCTTTTAGATCAATCCCACAAACTCATCCTTCCATCACTACCAGACACTTAGCAGAAGACATCTCCGTTAAATACGCTAAGCTTCATTTACAGTGCTGAAATTAACAGGTGTTGCAAGAGAGGGCAGATCAGTTTGTACAGACAGTATAATCAAGACTCATTACCTTCCATTTCACAGAAGAATCAAACAGAAAAATGGGAACTATAAAAACCATTTATGTTTGCTCACCTCTATTCAATCATAAGGACTAAATGTATGACTGAGTTTCACCCAGTATGAAAGAACGGAGAAAAAAGGATTCAGTCAGAAAAGTACAGAACTTTGTAATTTTTTCTGGCTAAAGTTCACCTCAAAACTATGTCACACATTCTAAACAGTGAAGACAAATCTTACACAGAAGTATTGCATTCTGAACCTCAAAATTCACTATGCAAGTAAAGCTTTACAAATTACATTTGACATAAAGAGAGATACTGCCTCAAACAAGAAACAACAACTTTAGAGACATGGTCTACCCTTTTCTTTAAGGCAAACATTAAATTTTAACAAAAGCAACTTTTCTTAATTCCAGCTGTTGATGATCTTAGCGTTCTTGTTAGCTATCATTTTGCTTGAACTGTTACACATTAAGTCTAAATTGTGATTTGAAAAAAAATATGTTTTAATCACTGTTTTTAAATTTCTGGTAGCACTTCACTAAAACAGCACAAAGGTGTTCTGAAATGCATCTGTAGTTTCATCAGGTGAACAGACATTTTTCTTTTAAGGACAGTATATAAAACACTATTTGAACAATTTCCAAATATACTGTAAATTTACTTGGTGTGTTATGAAATCTCAGCAAGAATATGGTAATGATTCTTTTAAATAAGAAAAAGCTGTCTCAACTGCATATGTGGATTACTTATTGCACATAAGACCAACTGCAAGCTTCTTGTTGGTTATTAATGTGTAACAGGATAAGAGTGGCATCATTCTGTGAAAACTAGTCTAAGTGTTCAGTGGTCCGTGTTCACCTGTCTGTCCCATTTCTCATCCTTTCCACCTACCAGAAGCTTATACTTTTTGCTACCGAAAACAATGCAAAACTGGCTTACCATTCCTCTCAGAATGAAATGACTGACCAGTCACCAGGCTGCTGCTTTCACATATGAACTGGTTTTGAGGTATTTGGAAAACACCAGCTTTCAGACTCTAATCAATACTCACTACAGTCCCAAACAGTCCTTATTAACTGTCCAGAGTATAAAAGCAGCACACGTTAAGAGTAAAAAGAGGAAAACACGGACATCCTTTCTGTGTAAAACTGAAAGGTAGACAAATTTGGCACATTTAATGCAAAACAGTCTGCAACTCTTGAAATGCTGCACTCAACTTCAAGCCTTGCTAACTGGAGAATAGGTAAAGACATCTAGGTAAAGACATCAAAAGCTACAAACAATATTGGCTCAAGTAAACTGTTGCTCAACACAGCTCAACTTCTGCCTCTGAGCTGCCCATGAACACTTCCACTCCTCTAATTATATAGCAACCTAAGGAAACTGCTGAAAGTACATAAAAATTCTTCATTTACATAGCAGACTTCATCCAAATCTCTCAGCTTTGTACCAATGAAGAAATCAGTCAACTGTATGATTTCCAGAACTGAGTGTGGTAAAATTTCTCAGAGAAGAACCACCTTTGGGTACACAACTACCTTCCTCCTGACTTGAAGCTTCTGAACTGTCCTCCTTGAAGTGTTCTGGTGCCTTAACCGTCTTCAAAGAGGGTTGTAAGTTACCTGCAGAGAATAAAGTTCACGAAATAACTTTATAGATCTTGAACAACTAGACAGTTCCTGAATGCTTGCACTAAACTGGAAGCTAGGGAAATGGAAGACTGAACTTATTGGTTTGCACGTGGCAGTAATTTGAACATCATCTCCTTCATCTGTAAAGGCTCTACAGAGATACTTTTATTTTGAAGAAAAGAGTGTACAACACAATTTTAAAATTATGGTGCAATTTTAAAAGGTTGGGATTGTGATTATAGTGTTAGAAATATACGTATTATCCTGCGATTCAGATTATTTTTTTTTATAATCATTTTGTGTTACAGCAGGAAATGGGAGGAGATCAACAACAGTTACTAGAATTATTCTACAAGTTATATTCCTCCATTATCAAATCATTCACCTGCCAAAGAGACCTAATTTGAGCTAAAGTCTTCTACTGCCGTTAACACAGTCTTCATGCACAATTTTTGCCTTTTTATGCCAGACGGAACAGAAAAAGGAGTGGCAATAATATTAACAGTTTTGGTGCGAAAATACCACTATCATGCTCTGAAAAAGGACTTAGTTTGGTAGCGAATCTAGGAGTCTACTTTTTCCTTCTCCAAAAGTTCCAAGTTAGTGCAGGTAAAAGCATCTGAAAGCTGTTGCTGAAGATCTTGAAACACTGATAGGAAGATCCTTCTGAATATCATCTGCATTGAAGGCACTAAGTCCCCAGAGATGTCTGTTGGAATTGAGTGTCTACTCCAACCTGAAAAAGTGTCTAAAATAACTGATGGTATAAACCAGGAGGGAGCTAATTTATTTCCTCCTTAATGTAACCATGGTGGCGTAATTACTCTTACTGAACGTATTATTCAGTGTGAAATCCCAAACATTATTTAAGGTATAAAGACCCTTCACTGAACACAGAATTTATTTCCACATAGGTTCTACTAAAACCATATCCTTCAGAAAGAGTGAGTATTTTTGTACTTCCACAAAAAAGATATTTTTATCCCGAACTCTAAGAAGCAACTTGGAGACCAATTTAAACCACAAATGCTTTGTCTGCCAGTTAATTCTGTACATACATTGAGAACTATGATGAGATTTTTTTTCCTCAAATATATGCTTCCTCCCCCTCACCCAACACTATCACCACATTCGAAATATGCCACCACGGGCTAACTTGCAATTGCAAGTATTAGTAGGATTCCAGGAAACCAAATAGGAAATCTAGACATACACAGAGGCCACCAATAATAAAAAAACATCATGAGCCACTTAATTTGTCGTGATTTGGGCAATGAATATGGTGAGTGCTTTTGTCTTAGTACAGCATCTATTAGCCTGCATCATAGGAAAAGTGATTGCTAGCTACTCCAGACAAATCATCCAGTCCCCCTTCTCAAAAAACAACTGTGCTTAAATTCATCACACTATTTGTTTTCACCAAATTTTCCTTCACATCTAACTCAATGTCAGAGCCCTGAAACACACCAAAGGGCTTTGCAACCTCTTCCCCTGCCCATGGCTCAAGGTCCAATCTGACACAGTGCAGTTTTGCAATTCTGAGTAAGACTGTTGGGAAAAGAACTGGCAGAAGCCTCAGCCAGGGCCCGCATCCTTTGGCTTGGGAGCCACATTTGAGCTCAGGACCTTGTCTGGGGTGCACTGCAGTCATGCCTGTGCCTGGCCACACACCTTGCTGATCCTGTTCTTAACCCTGACCTATTGACTTGTTTTTCTGCCTTGACCTCAGACTTGCCTCACTGCTTTGGACCTGTCTGGTAATCACCAGATTCTTGCCTATTCCTGGTCCTAATCTTCCTCACAGCAAGCTAAGCTCAGTGCTTTCTGTCTTATCCATCAGAGAGAACAGATCATCCTCTTTATATTATGACTCTTTGGTATTTGAAGACTTAAGTCATCTTCCATTGGAGTTTTACTCCTCTCTGCTAAACAGTGAAGTTCCCCACCCTATCTGTCATGCATTCTAGATCTGAGAAATCCTCATACACTTTCATGTACCCAATTTTTTATTATTATAAAAGTTACCTCCCATTTACGATCACATTAGAACCTGTAAGACTTCCTGTAGAACTGACCTGTCCATTCTACCCTTCTGATCTACCTCCCAGTCAAGTCTATCGAGATGGAACCAGGCACTGATTCTTTTTCAGACCATTTCAAATTATAATCACATACAAGAACGCTTTTGCAAGTCTTTCCCACCTATATGTAGTCTACAGACTAAAATATGCATACTCTGTGCAGTGTGCCTATTATCAACATCAATCTTTCTGGGTTTGGAAACTTTCTCCTCCCCATGCAGCCTTTCAATACAACAAGAGTTATCAGAATTTTCACAGCAGTAAAAATTCTAGTCAGTTTCACAACCATCCCGGATCTCATTAGCTTAACATTTTCATGAAATTGCCATGTAAGAATGGCCTAAGCGTTACTAAAAAAACAGTCACAAAACGACCTACAGCTTCTACCCTAATCACAATGCCTCTGTCTCATCATGGAAAGAATACATTTGTCACAGATCACACACATAATTTCAAATGAAAGTCAGATGTCTTTCCTCTATTTTCTTCCAAGCACATACGAGCAGCCTGTTTGAAAACTCCAACTTATTCAATTCCTTGCTAAGATCATCTGCAACTTCTGAGGCAGTGGCCTCACAGTCAGTGCTTTAACTGTTATGACAGAGAACATGCACCAAAAGAAGAAAAGGTTCAGCAGAAACAAAGACCACATCCTAAAACATCCATACAGAGAAGCTAAGCTTAGGTCACACAATTTCTAACAGCAAGTAGGTAAGAGGTCCAACCAAGGAAATCTCTGCAACGCAGATGCTCTGAACAAGATTCTGTGTGTTCTGAAATCTGGGCCATCGCAAAATTAATGCGCCCAAAACAAATTTTAGTTCAAGTATCAAGACAAATGCTTCATCTACAATAGAAACAAAATAAAACCCAGAGGTTATTTTTTGTGTCAGCTCAAGCATTTTGTTCCAAAGTTTAAGATTTCTTAAAAGGAAAAAGTCCCAAACTGTTGCACATATTCAATTCATAACTACCTATTTTAATAGTGTGATGGTACAGAGGAGAAGGAAAGAAAAGAATATGAACTGATGCTACATAGCATGTTCCCACTGTCAAAATCATGAGTATCTGCTGAAGCAACTATTCATTGGCAGAGAGTTCAAATACAACCAGTGGAATACAATGTAACGTGAATACGTAATTATAAAACTGTAATTAGGGACAATAGGAAGATTTTATAGACATTTTGTTATATAAAACAGTATTAGCGTATTTCTTACTGTGAGTGTGCAAAGATTCTGATGAAATTGACTGGAAGAAGTTGTATACTCTCTGATTCTGCAGAAAAGCTTGCGATGTATTTGAAAATAGCTGCCTGAAATTTAAGTGAGAGTTTGTTAAACTGTAAGTAATATTCCATAGGAAGAATACAAAAACTTACTACAGGACCATTTAAGAGCAAAGGAGGCAGTTCTTAAGAAGTACAAACACTTCAAACTGCATGTTGAATGCTACTTTTGAGCTTTGTTGTTCAGTGCTAGTATAGGTCGGAGTACAGCCAGTACAAGAAATTGGTATGAGTTCTTTATAATTTAAAAGGTACATGCTTTTGAGACATCCCAATTCAGACATTTTAGCCACCTGTAACATTTTATCAAAGAGGAGTTTGGACAGAGTCAGAAAGCACTGGACTGTAATTTTAACTTTTTTTTTTTTTTTTTTAACTGAGAACACATTTAATTTCCCAAAACAATGCGTCTCCTCTTTAAATACACTCATTTGGTTAAATGCAAAGTTGAATTCACCTGTAAGATTAGTATTTGAGTTTCATAATTATCTCCAAGAGCAAACGGTAGGAATCTCAATATTGCTCGTCACTGGTCTGAGTCTGTTCCCAAGAGGTCAGTGACAAACTGTATTAGCTTCAGCCAAGAAAACAGGCCAAGAATAATGGTTTTACATCTCACACCAAGGTTTCAGTTACTGCTTGCCAGGAAGCACCACACACTTCCAGTTTTTTGGAAGAGGGGCGGGGAGAGCCATTTTTGGCAATTGGGCACATACTTAAGACCCCCAAATAAGTATATATTTAAGCTAAACTGACACTGTAAGAAAATGAAATTTGTATACAGTAATGATATAATCGTGAGATTATTCATGTAGCATTCTAGTATAGTCACAACATAACTTGCAAATTGTAATGACAGTTCCATACTATAACACAATTAGATATGTTTGAAAGCTACCCTCAAACTGAATCTCTTGGGTTTGTAATAACTGTGCAGTGAGGCTTCACAACCTTTCTGTATTACAATACATTCTCTTCAATCAACCTCTATTAAACAAGTTTGTTCATCTAAAACCAGAATGTTTATTAGCCAAAACTGTTTGCACAGGTTAAGTTTTTGGCTTGACAATCAAGTCAATAAAGACAAATAATACTAACAGATCAAAATAAAATAAAATTGGGAAGGGGGAGGTTGAGGCACACAGCAGGTCCATTTCTTCCCTAGCTAAGCTATTAAAGCATATCCCAAAGGTCTGATATACTTGGACCTGTAATACATTCTGAGCAGGAGCTTGAAAAGCAGTGTCTGATTCTTCAACAAGCACCCTAACACAAGAGACACTGCCTAACCTGATGAATAATTTAAGTTATTTTGAACAAGGTTGAACAACCCTGACAGAAAAGAACAAATGTAACAAGATACCTGTATCAAACAAAAAGAACAGGGATGCACACACAAATTCATATCGTTGTTCTGAGTTACAGGATTTGACCAACACATCTCACATCTCAGCAAACATTCCCATCACTAAACAGTGGGTTATGAGGTATGGGTCATTTTCTTACAAATGTGTGAGCCACATTTAATTGTAAATACATGCTTCACTACTACTATTTATTCTTTCCAAATTCTGTTCTGTCTCTCATTCTATCCTATTATAAAATTAGAAAATATGTGCTCTGAGTTACTGTTTCTAATATTTCTAAATATACCCTTGTATAATGGAGGTAAGACCCTCACAGAAGGGCAAATCATTGCTATACAATGCTGCTCAGAACAAATACTTTCATAATTGTATGATTACTTCTAAAGAAGTAAGCCCTTAAAGTTTAATAAGAGTCTCAATTTAAAGAAAAAGGAGTCAAGAATATCTATTTCATCACTGCCTTCCCATTTTTTTTTACAAATTGTATTTAGGCAGCAGAATTTCCACTATCTCTAAAAGTCATCTAGTTTGACTTCAAGCACTTTTCAGGTGATGCATTTCACGTTATTTGCTAAAATATTTACCTTATTATGGGCTCAAGATCAGCATGCCTTCGTTCTTCCCTCTTCTGAAAACCCTGATTTAGTGCTCTTAAGATAGTCTTGTCAAATGCTTCAGAAGACAGTTCCTTTGGGAGCTGAGAAAAAGGTTAATGTGAAAAATGAGTAGCTGACATTCTAAAGACTATATTTGTTCACCATCAGCCTTTATACCTTTGGGTATCAACAAGAAAATCTATTGTTCTAGTTTGAGTAAGGTAATTTACAAACCAAAGGTACAACAAATCATCATAATTTAGTTTTGCTAGAGACACACTTTGCTGTAAAACCTCACATCAAATCCAAGTGTAAGATGGTTGAAAGCTCTATTTGAAAGAACTACATTCGAACTTTGCCAACACTGTTCTTTTCCACAGTAATTTACAGCCTTTATTTATTTATTTATATCTTTCACACACAGAAAAGTAGATCTGAAAATAAGTGCTGGAATAGATATGATTTTTTTTTTTTCCTGTTTAAGAGGGGAAAATGTGTTTACTATTGACTGCTAGAGGTTTGTTAGTCCTCTCCTGTTCATGTTATCTGTTTTAAAACTGTCTCTT